TGTATTTTGGGCTATAGGCCTGCTGCTAATTCCAATTTGTATTAAGAAAATAACTCCTTTTATCCCAAGATGAGTTTGATGTAATTTGAAAAATAAATTCCAATGTTTAAATACTTGGTGGAAAGTTTCCACCTCTTTAATAATTGGCTTTGGTAATTCTTTTAAAAGATAATCATCTTCTAAATATATCATACGGATTAATCCGCATTTGTATAATTCTGGGACAAGCTTTACATTAATATTTCTATAGATATAAGTAATTTGATATTTTTTAACTGTATGGAAATAAATCTGAGAATTAACTCTCTTCATAAAAAGATAATTGTTGTCATTCATTTGTGTTATTTCTATAATTTTTTTTGTAATTTTTTTGTAGATATGTCATGCAGTATTTTTGCATACGTAGGGTTTTTGAAGAAGATGGTTCTTCATTTTCAGTAATTGAAAAAGAAGCTTTAGCTTTTTCTTTTTCTTCTCTAGCAATTCTGATATTTGCAAAATCTCTAATTTTCTTTAATACTGATAAAGATAGTAACTCTTTCTCTGGAATTTCTCCACATATACTTTTTTATTTTAAATAATCCATTTAGAATGTTATAACAAAAAACAATCTCACATTCTAACTTCCATATTTGTAGATCAACAATTTCCAGATAATTGATTATATCTAGAATAGATTTTTCTTCAGTCTCGCTTGCTATGTCATAAGTATTTATATTTTCATCATCCATATTTATTTCCTATATAATTCACGTGTTAGTATATCAGTAAGAGAATTTTATTTCTTTTTATGTATCCTAAATCGAATGTATATGCAGAGAACCAACTTTGTCATCTAATTAATCGTTTATTTGATAATAAATCCACAATTTTTTCTTAAGAGAGAAATTGCAGTTTTATTGTTGTTCTAATTAAAAATGTTTCATTTAAAAATATTTCAAAATTTTTTAGTTGTTTTCTTTAGTGCTAATAATTTTTTTTCGTTCTTATGATAATTTTGTTTTGTAGTGTTGTAAGTTCCTGAGCTATATCTACATAAGAGTTCATAATTATTTCTTCTGGCTTTAAAAAACTGCATCCCTTGCAATTTTTGAACCGTCTGTTTCGATAAATAGATAATCTCCTGGTATTGGTAACAAGTTGTCTAGTTTTTTCTCATTTCAAGAGAATGACCACATGACAGCCTTCTAAAGCATGTTGAATTTTGATTGCCTAATTATCGCTCCTTCAATAAGAAGGATTACATAGATTGCCTCCAATCATATATTGCTTGATCATTCAATTTTACCATCGTTCAAGAAGTGAAGAACTATCCTGATTGTCATTAATAGCCATCTAACTCCTCCCTCCTTCAAAAATCAAAAGTCATCTTGACTTGTTTGATTGGTCATTTTAGTGACCTTGAACCCACTAAACACACTACTTTGTCCAGTAAAATGGTACAACCCAATCCATTTATAAGAATTATCCTAGTTTTCTTCCAACGATCTAACTAGTATTTTTTTTAATTTCCCTTAAAAAGATTAGCCCAAGACATTCAATCTCCCATTTTTTCAAAAGAGAGACAACCCCAATCATCATTTGGGGCTATCTACAATAACACCTCCAAATTCTTGAACTGTCGATTCGTTCGCATCTACACCTTTAGGGGATGACTAATTCAACCATCTCTAACAGCATCTGCAACGTTCTTGTGTTCCCTCATTTATCACCATAAGTTAATGTCATCATCTCTAAAAGGGGACAAGTATGATCATAGATCTTATTGTATCACTAGCACTAAGAATATTAACATCTCAATTTAACTTGCATTGATTGACTTCGTCTCTAAGATCAAAGGTCAACTTATTAACTCGTAATTTTCAACTTTTTTTTGTTGTGCATGTCATAAATTATCCCGTAAGTCACTTCTTTGAGTGTGTGTGAGACATTATTTGAAGCTAAGGCATTTAAAAACTCTCTACCAGCTTGACTTCTCGCACACAATAAATTTTTTCAGGAAATTCAAGTTTCATAAACATATTCATGAATTTATAAACAACCATTAAGAAAGGACGTAAATTAAAATTCCATTAACCGTAATGGAGATGACACCGCATGCATATTTAATAAGAATCAATTCAAGATGAAGATTCATAAAGCCAAAAATAAATAGATGAGATGAGACTATTAATGAACTATCTGATAAAAAACTAAAGCACATAATTTATCATGATTAATATTTTTACCATTTATATTACTTTCCTTTAAAGTGATTCTTTGTCTATGTGATAAATGCATCTACATAAAATTAAACATATTTGTACATTTACCGAGTTGGTTAAAAAAAATTATGCAACCACCAAAGGATCCAAGTGTTGAATCAAGAAAAGAATGTACGACTAGAAATTAGAGACTTAAAAGCATCAACAAATCCACTTAAGAAATTGAAATGTATGCAAGATGTGGCAATTTGATTGGAAATAAATTTGAAAGGAATTAAAGATTGATCAAGGAGTAGATGGAATGACTATTAGACTGTGAAATCTTATATCGGTATTAGTACCAACAAGATTCCTAAAGGAAAGTCTTTTCTGTTGTTTTTTAAGTTATTTCTGCCTTGTAATTACAGAATAAGAATTTCAATAACATTTGAAAAAAAAGGACCCTCACCAAGTGCATATATATAATTAATCTCTTCATATCAAGAAACAAGATTATATGGTTGAATTTTTTTTTTTTAACTCACGCACACACTAATATGTGTTAAGCCTTATAATCAAAACCCCGTGATTAGCGAAAAAGCACCAAACCACTAGGCTAAATTGGATATACTAGAGCAGAATAAAATTTCTTCATGGAAACAAAGCTCATTATGACTTTCATTTTTTATCACCTTGTTCTTTAATTCCATTTTCCTATTTTTCTTCCTTCCATTGCTAATTTTTCCCTCACTGCTTGAGGTATCAAATTGCCATACAAAAGATATATTACCATAAACTATGAGAGCCAAGCTACTCCAATCAAGAGAAAAATTATACTTTGTAAACTTCTTATCAGTAAAATGGAAAATACTATCTTAAATTATTAGCTATTTGTGAAGACCTTCTTGAAAAAGATAAGGAAAACTCAATCACCATTTAAGCATTTCTCCAAGCGTCAAAGACCCAAAGTTCATGTTATAAGACAAAGAAGATTTGATAATTACGTTTTAGTTTTGCAACTCCACAATGCTAGAGGTATGTAAGCCTTGACATTTTCTTGTTAACTACAAAAGAAATTTGGGATGCTAAGAGTGAGCCCTACTCGAAAGACAAATATGATGCAATCATCCGTGTAATCAAGACAAAACTCTCGAGAATTAAGCAAAGCAATCTTTCTATAAATGAATACTTCAATATGATGAGAAGACAATGGTCGGAGTAACTAATATCAAGATCACATGATGAAGTGGCATGAGGATAATGTAATTCGTTAGCATTATGTTAAAATAAAATTTTAGAGTTTCTTGCAAGTCATAACGTGAAATTTGATTAAGACTTTACATTCATAGAAAAGAAGCTTTACCGTAAGGCTCTCTCGTATTAAAACTAAAGAGAGTAGGATAGCAATCCTGATAGAGGTCCCAAGTAAAGAATGACCGATCATGGTGAACACAAAAGAGAAAGCTCAAGGAGAAGAATATAATTCCTTGGAAGCTTCCAAGAATTAGGGACGAAAAAATCCACCAAAAAAGATAGTTTATGATGTAAATATTGCAAAAAAGGAGTTAAGATTGGAGATGACTGTTTGAAACTCCATGGAAACCCTTAAGATCATGTCGGATACAATGGCAATCAATCAAAGGGCCCAACCCTTCTAACAATGACAGCTGGACACAACTTTAATGAAATTCAGAAGGTAAGAAATTTCTTAATACATTTGAATCGGTTACTTTGAACTCAGCTGTACGTTAGTAAAGAAGTGAATCATGGTAGTGAGTTAGCATGTTGATTATGCCGCTCCTAACTAGAAGAAATCCCAAATTTGGCCCGATCTTAATAATTAGGAATAGAAAAAAGTGTTGTTTTCAGTTTGCTTTGTCCAATTCCTGTGTGTAGCATGTGTTCTACTTTTGGAAGGATTGTAGACTTGCAGCATTCAATTAATCAAGAGTAACATGTATATAAATATGTAATTTCCAAAAATAAGGATCTACAGCATCCATCATCATGTTCAATAGATATTAAACCACATAATGTCACATTGTAACATGTATATAAATATGTAGATAGCATAAAAAGGGAGAAAAAATACAAACTCAAGGCTATAAAAACATAAAACAAAAGGGTAATAAAGGAAGAAGAAATGACAATGACATGAGTTAACAACGACAATGAGCAATGAAGAGAAAGAGCCACAAAATTTGAGTGAGATTCTGTTTTTAGTAAATTTGCATATTAAACCTTGGATTTAGAGCAATTCCTTGTGGCTCACTTCCCATCAACGCAACTAAGTTAACCAATCCAGTATGAAGTCTCTACAAGGGGGTGACTGATCTTGGACAAGAACTATTAAATATCCATGAATCACGACAAACAAAAATTAAAACTACTGTGCACACAAAAGATGTAGCACAGATATTCAAGCTAAACGTGTTTGTGCTATCCATGTCAACTAAACTAGGATCGAGAGTGGCCAGATAAAAGAATGGCTATATATCCATGGATCCCAAAAGTAAATAAATAAATGTTGAAGAAAAGAGCATACAAAGCAAAATAAAAATGTAGCACTGAAATAATTGTTTGTGTGCATGTATATATAAATTGAATAAGTATTTTAAAACAAACTAATATAAAAAGTTTTTTTAATTCCCCATGAATTGATTTTCTCTAACATTAGTAATCACATAATTAGATTAAACACTTCAAACAAGTGGTATCCTCGAAAAAAGTAAAAAGAAAGACAATTTCCAACTACAAGAAGTAATTATAAGAAATAAGAGTGAAAAGAATTGAGAAGAACGAAAATGTTATAAGTACCTTAAGTAAGAATGGAACAACAGTATAAAACAAAAACATCGCCAATGAAAATCCAAAGAATGGAAACACCTGAAATTAAAGATGCCAAAGTAAAAAATAAGCACAAATATCATTTAAATAAGGAGGACACAAGCCATCGCATCATAATTTCAACCTTAGTAAACCTAAAAAGTTGAATAGCCAATGATTTTAGTGACAAAGTCCAAAAAAAAGCATCTCTATAAAATATTAATTTGAAAAGAATAAAATAATACAAATAATAATAATAATATATGCCTAATATCCTTTATACAAAACAAATAAACAAGTGATAGAATCCGTACTTTTAAAACTGTAACTGTATTTATGTTCTATGTTGGAGTTTCAATTGTGTTGATCTGCTTCTATCATTTGAGTTCAATGCGGAAATTACATGAAGTGTTGTTATGAGAATTTGAGAATTACAAGAATTATACAAATTGTAAGACTTCTTGTTCATCATTCTTTGACTGGTGCTTATCCATGTGACTCTAGTCATTTTGTTGTTGTTCATGCTTATCCTTGCACAAAAAATTGTTCACAGCCGTTGTTTGCGCCTATCAGCCTTATCCACATAACTTCTGACCAAGATTTTAACGGTCATTTTATTCAAACTACTAACTTAGACGATTTAAACACAACTCCAACACATGTAATTTACTAACTGGGTGCTTAATAAATTCCTTATCCCTCTAAAATTGGAGTTCTAGTAGGACGTCGAATTCCTCTGGTGTGTAATTCTAAGTACTTATTTCTAGGGAATATATTCTCCATGCTAATGTGAGATTTGATTTCATGATTGGATGAAAATTACAATCTTTCTTTCATCTAAATAAATATATAATTTTTTTTTAGTATGATTATTTTTGTTAAAACATGGTGAAACAAACATATTCCGTAAAGAGAAAACAAATAAACATATTCTGAGGGGCATTATATCATTGTAGTAATGACATCAAGATAAAAATTCACACCCTCAAATAAGGTACTCTTTTGGTTATTAATTATCGCAACAAAATAAAAATTTGGTGCCTCATTCTTTACTACTACAAGAGAATCAAAATGAAATTAATCAACATGTTGTCATGCTGCAATTTTTTATGAAAGGAAAAAAAATTCATGAATATCTAATTGGGCTAAACATTAAAGATGACCAAGCATACATCCAAACACTTCAAAAAGACACTCTTTATGATATATTATTAGAAAAAAAAAGATGGGAGATGCCATGCTACGTCCAAAACAACACTCACTAATGGCAATGTAACATGAAGAATCTATGAATAATTATCGATTAAAATTATCCAAATTGACTTGGGAATAAAATGAAAAGATAATATAAAATAATGTTGCGATAAAAAATCATCTATCAGCATAGCACACAATTCAATCCAACAAGACCAAATCAAATATATAGAAATCAATTGACAATTTATTAAAAAAATTAAAATTTGTATCATTATGTATCCCATAAGTCCAAATACAAAAGTTGTTGACCGAAATTCTAAATAATGGAGTGCCAACATTTATATTTCAAATTACCAGAACTAAAATAAGCATGAGGAATATATACTTTACAGCTTGAGGAGTGCGAGCAATTTTATAGGCGAACTAGGCCCTCTAGGGGATTGTAAAACTAGCAATCAATCATTGGCTTATTAGGGACAAAAGTCTCTAAAATTTCAGAAGAAATAAATATTAGCAAGCTATAGAATATCTTATTTTTTAGCAACAAAGGTAGAAATATATTATTCTATGTGTTTTCGGTCCTAAAACCTTTCTTCCTATAATTAGAACATAATTAGAATTTTCCATGAGTAAAAATTACCAAGTATAACCTAAAATTCCGCTATATAAACAAAGATGTGAGATCATTAATGAAATACACAATAATTCAAATAATTTCTCCTCTCTTCCAATCTCATGCACCCTTGAGCTTTGCGATCACATTTTTAGTAAGAAGTGGATTTTTATCAACTTATAAGCCAATCACGTCTCTCAAATATAATATAGTTTCACAACAATGCTTAGAAAAAAAGGGTAAAAAGCTCAACAGTTTGATTGTCATCATCAAAATTTATATAAATACTCATAATCTCAAATAATAAATTTCAACTCATTAAAATGTAATGGGTGTGAAATACAACATGAGAAGTAGAGTCTCCACTTATAGAGTTTGTTGGACATGACTCTAGCCATATGCAATGATTAAAATTTGAACTATAATCCTCAGCAATTATTTCCTCAAAAATATCTATTAAGATCTCATTCACCAAGAAGTTGAATATTTCAGAAAGCTTCTTCATCTATCTATGTCTGCCTTCTTAACTCACAAAGGAAATCATATTGAAAAGCCCCATAAGTGTTTTCATGTACTAAACTAGACCAAGAGAAAATCAGATCAGTTGTCAACCCCGAATCTACATGTGCTCAGCTTCGGCCACCCCTCACTATGATTCCTTTGTGTGAGCAACACGACATCCCCAATGCACAAATCATACAAAAAAAATTACATTTCATGCCACCAGTTGACAAAATTTGAGATCATGAGCTAGCGCATCACATGCCCTTTTCTTCATCATAGCCGCCAAACCTTTTCCGATTTCACCCTCCCACCCTGGCGGCTATTAAGCCTCTTGACCAAACCTTCTTGTTGACCTTTCCTTCAATAAGAAGGGATGTCTCTGCGGCCAATAGAAGCTTCTCAGGCAACAGAACAATATTGCACACAAAGTCTTCAATTTCTCCTATCTCTTTGTTTGTTAGCATTACAAACTTGAGGCTAGTAACTTCATTTATTAAAGGATAAACATACCATTATTCATTAGTAGCATTATCCTTGATGCTTGAAATATAGTTCATAGACATTTTGTAGGTTGCTAGTGCTTTCTTTCATGTTCAAATACTGAAAACTTTGAAGGAATTTAAAATTCATATTGTAGAGCTACCTAATGTTTTGCCATGTGAGTTGTTGCCTAAATCTAAAATAACTAAATGCTTCCCATGATAGCAACTTTTACCATGCACATTATTTTAGGTAAATACAACGAAACTTATTCATGCATATTATGATTAATTATAGAGCTAGCATTCATTATATTTGATATAAAATACATATCATATTTTTTACTAGAAATACAAAATAGCGATGCCTATTTACATATGATGTCAAGGTTGATAGAACCCTACAAAATATTATCTAAATAAATTGATGGGTCCACAAAAGAAATAGCCTTTTCTAAAATCATTGAAATTCAAGACGTCTTAATAAAGCTAGCTATGGATAATATAGATATACAGATGATATAAAAGAAGACTCATGAATAATCTCTGGATATATATGATTATACAAGATGCAACTGCACAATATTATGTTAGTGAAAAAATGCATTGATTACTATTTTCATATAAAGGATAATTAACATCACCATGTTAGTATAAAAATTTCTTGATTACCATTTTCAAATAAAGGATACTTACATAACATATTGTAAATCATCTTATAGCAACTGACACATTCTTTTATGTTATGTAATATTATGTTCGGCTATGACTTCATAACATGCATTATGCTGCTACTATATAGTAGATCATGCTTTGTTTTTGTCATATTAAATGCATTTATGCTTGAATAATTAATTATTTATTGAGTTCGAAAGGTTATGCTCATTTATTGTCAAATGCTCTTATAACAGGCTATTTCAAGTTGTTGTAATGTTCGGTATTATAGAAGGTTGTAATCATGTCATAGGTAGAGAGCAACAGAGCGATTGATGTCATGTGATGAGCTAAATTGAGCAGTCGACAACACCGATGAGCAAAGTTCGCGAAGGTGAAGAAGAAAGGAGAAGCTAGAAGGTTTGACTTGAAGAATCAAGCAACAAGGCAAGAAGAAGATGATCAGATGAGAGCCAATGGTTGTGTTCTTGTGTTAGAATTAAGAGTAGAAAGCAAGGATGTGATGTAGCTTAAGAGTCGAGCATCCTTCGAGTAGAACAAAACAATGCGAAGGAGAAGAACATCTGACGATCTCACGAGGGCGGCAGATAAACAATCGAGCTCGATCAAGATTAAAGACTATAGGGAAGCAAATGGTGGTGCTAACCATGCTGGAGGAAGGAGTAAGACAAAAGTGATATCAGAGAGCTAAGGTTTAAACTAAGTAATATAAATCTTATTGAAAGAGTAATTAAGTTAACTAATGGAAATGCTATAAAAAGTTTTGTATTTAATCCTATAATCATAATTATAACCAATATGTAAATTTCAAAAAGAAAAGCTTAAACCTAATAAAGTTTAATTTATTTTTTTTAAATCTAAAGTTGCTCTTTCATTTATTTTTTAATGATTAAACATTGGTTACAAAAAATTAAAAATATAAAACATTTAATTTCACTGTCCGCCTATTTGTTCCATTCTTAAAAAATTCTAAACCTCTGACTGATCATGAAAGTTCCTTGGTGGATCATCACTAGATACACTTTAGGATATGCTTCAATTCACTTATAGTTTGCTATATAGTCTTAATTTATGGTGAAATCTCAACACATAATTAGAATTCTATTGTGTTAACATTATATGTGTGGATTTGGTTTATAGAATTAAATACATGAGAAGATGGGGATACCATAAGAAAAAATATTTACATATCTAAAATCTTGATTGTTGAACGTCGTGGGTTTGGTTCTTCTGCCTGCCAGAGAAGAAGTCATGGGATTGCATGCGTGCAGGACAAAGCAGACGCGGGTCACCTAGGTGCAGTATGTTGTGGGATCACCTGCATGTGAGGGACCAAGCAAAAGACACCACAAACAACAATGCAAACCGCTGCTGAATTGTCTACAACTATGTGTGCGATGCGACTCTGCGTGCGAAGGAGGAAGCAAAGGGCTAGGGGAGGAGAAAATTTTCCACAGGTTAGCTGCACCTAGAGCACCATGCGGACAACGGCTGCAATTCTCTCATCACGGCAGTAAAAGAAAAAAAACAGCCGCCACAATAAGATGTATCACAGTTGTTGTCTCCATGCAGACAACGTATGGAAAAATTTC